ACAGATAGATGGATAGACAGATAGAAAGATAGATTGACTGATTGATGGATTGATTAGACAGAGAGATGGACAGATAGATACATAGCACGATAGATAGAACGATAGCTGGATAGATAGCTATTTAGGAAGCTGGCTAGAAAGAAAGAAAGATAGATAGATAGACAGATAGAGAGAGGGAAAGAGCTGGAGATTTAAACAGATGCACGGAGAAGCAGAGATAGGCACCACGGGAACTCGGCCAGCACACGAATACTCAATATTCGTGTATCGATACAAACATTAATGTAACATTAATGTAGAATAAAAAAGCTTCAGATGTAATAACAAGCTGTTGCATTTTCATCTTTTTAAGAAACTCTCATTTTTATTATTATTATCACGATTATTATCAATAAATTGTTATTATTATTATTACTATTATTATTCTTCTTACTAAATTACTATTTTAATTTAAAGAAAGGGCCTGCACCGCTTCCACTGCTTGTAAGGCTGCAGTGAAGAGCTCGGCCGTCTGCGCTCGACGGGCCGCGGTCCTCGTTTTGTTTGTTCGAGCGGGCCTAAGGTAGGGTTAGGGTTTTAGGGTTTAGGGTTTTAGAGTTTAGGGTTTAGGGAGCGGGGCCTAAGCTTTAAGGGGCCTTAACAATTAGAATAGGGTTTTGGGTGCTTCCTTATTATAAGCATAGTAAAATGGACCCCCCAAGCCCTATTCTAATTATTGATGCCCCTATATTAAGCCCTACCCCCTATATGTCTCCCTTAACGGACCCCTTCACAGAATCCTTCCAGGCAAGCCCAAGCCACGAAGAAGCTGCGGAGTCCTCATAAAAACCCTCAACGAGATGGTTTCCAGTAACTGTTATAAGCTAAATGCCTTCTTATGTTAGAGAGCCCTTGGAAGCCCCTCATACATGAATATGAACCCCAACGTTAGTTTATAGGACCCAAACTGAAACTCTCAACCCCTCCAGATCCCTTAACTTCAAGACGCACCCAAAGCCCCTAAACCCTAAACCCTAAACCCTAAAAGCCCTACAAACCCTAACAACCCTAAACCCTGAACCCTAAACCCTAAAAGCCCCAAACACTCAAAACCCTGGAAGCTCATCCTTGTCACTGGTTTAGGGTTTAGGGTTATTGTCGAACCTAAACCCTAAGCCCCTAAACCCTAAACCCTAAACCCTGGAACCATAGAAACCCCAAGAACCAGTCAGTTGTCCCTAAACCCTGAACCCTAAAAACCCCAAAAAGCCCTAAGCACTAAAACCCCTAGAAGCTAAGCCTTGTCGCCGAGGCACATCTTGTAACGCGCCTCTATCTCCGCAGAGAGGCCTCGGCCCCAAGGCTCCCGGGGTCGCAGGACGAGTTGAGGGTTCAGGGGTTTAGGGTGTAGGGGTTTAGGGTGTAGGGGTTTGGGTTTAGGGTTTTAGGGTGTAGGGGTTTAGGGTTTGAGGTTTAGGGTTTAGGGGTTAAGGAGTTTAGGGTTTTAGGGTGTAGGGGTTTAGGGTTTGAGGTTTAGGGTTTAGGGGTTTAGGGGTTTAGGGTGTAGGGGTTTTGGGTTTTAGGTTTAGGGTTTGAGTTTTTTTTTTTCAGGGGTTCAGGGGTTTAGGGTGTAGGGTTTGAGGTTTAGGGTTTAGGGTTTGGGGGTCCTTTGATGGGATCTCTTGGGTGGAGCGTGACGAGGGGCTGAACTAGGAGTTAGGATTAGGGGAACCCATGGGGATATAGACCCCCTCCATAAGGTCCCTTTTCCTAGAGCCATAAAGTAGGGCCAAGAAGGGTCCCCTGTAAGGGGCCTAAACCCTAAACCCTAAACCCCCTCCCTAATACTACCCAGGATGAACGAGAAAGCCGAGACCTGGATAGTGACGCTACATTCGTTAATGAAGGGGGCATTGGGGTCTCTGGGTTCAAGTATGCCCAGAAGGACAACGGTTTAGGGCTTAGGGTTTCGGGCTGACGGCTTAGGGCTTAGGGGGTTTAGGGCTGACGGCTTAGGGCTTAGGGTTCAGGGCTTAGGGTTTTGGCTTTAGGGCCTAGGGTTTAGGGCTTAGGGTTTAGGGTTTAGGTTTTTTTCTGTTTTAAGTTGGGGTGACGCTCCTTTGATTGCCTGCCCGAGTCGGCTCCCAACCAGTGCCGATTAGCACCGATAAAATCACACCAACAGTGTAGCCTTTCAGTCATCTTAGCGCCCCCTCACTGTTGGTAGTGGAAGAAGAAGAAAGGACCCGAACAGAGAGGTTTAGGGTTTAGGGTTTAGGGCTTAGGGTTTAGGGGTACAGCCCTAACATGTGCTCGGAAAAAGCCTCACAACACTAGCACTCCAGCGCTAAAGGTCTCAGTAGCAATGTACTCCCTCAAACAGCGCATGCAAGCACTACTACGGTTGATGATAGAAATCCTGCTTCACCCATGATAAAGAAGATACCATACTTCCCATAGTTCTTAGGGGTCCTTATGGTAATGCAGGATTTAAACCCTAAGTCCTAAACCCTAAACCCCTAAACCCTAAACCCCAAACCCTAAACCCTAAACCCTAAACCCCAAACCCTAAACCCCAAACCCATTTAGATCATCAGCAGTCTCCTCAACCCCTGGACTCCAAACTCCAAGCCTTATGCCTCCCGAACCTTAGAGAGCCTTCAAGAAAGGAACCCTGCAGAACCTTTACCCTGAAGTTTAGGGTTTAGGGTAAACCCTAAACCCTAAACCCCTTTAGCGAACCCTTCATCGCTTTCTCTAACCCTACTTTTGAGCATCGGGGGACTGGAAAACTTGGGTGATAAATGGGATAACTTTTTTGGGTTTAGGGTTTAGGGTTTACTTACAAAACTTTATTTGCCCAACGTAGGAACTCATAGCCATACTACTTAAGTCCCATGACCCTCGCAGTATGCCCAGCTGAGAACCTCAAAACCCTAAACCCCTAAACGCCTGAACCCCCAAACCCTGAACCTTAAACCTGAAACCCCAAACCCCAGGTGGGTAGTTCTCTAAAGTAGGCTTCGTTGTTAGGTCCCCAATATAGCACGGCACCGTTACAAAAAGGACACTAAAAAGGGACCCTGAGTTAGAGAACTACCCTTTTGGCAGCCGAGAGGCTCTTACACTCTCCCCCCGCCACGGTGTGCCCTCGGCAGACAGCAAGCTATGCTAGGGTTTATCCGGCTTAACCCTAAGCCCTAAAAAAAACTATAAACCCTAAACCCTATAAACCCTATAAGCCCTATAAACCTTTAGGGTTTAAGGCTTAAGGGTTCAGGACTTAGGACTTTAGGCTTTAGGATGTAAGGGCTTAACCTGTTTAGGCTTTAAGGGCTTCTAGGGCTTAGGGTTTTGGGGGCTTATAGGGCTTAGGGTTTAGGATTTAAGGGCTTAGGGGCTTATAGTGCCTAGGGTTTAGGGCTTAGGGTTTAAGGTTCAGGGTTTAGGCGATGTCAGCTTAAAGCTCTCATCGAAGCAGACACTTGCAAGTCGAGGTTAGACTTGGTCATGGACCTTAACAAGGCCTTAAAGAACCCCTTAAAGGAACCCCCTTAAAGGAACTCTTCAAAATCCCTTAAAACAACCTCATTTCCACCTTCAAGGAGCCCCTTAAAGGAACTCCTCAAAGTCCCTTGCCGGAACCGCCTTAAAGGAGCCCTTGAGTTCCTTAAAGAGGCCCTTAAAGGAACTCCTCAACATCCCTTGAAGGACCCTAAACCCTAAAGGAACCCCTTAAAGGAACCCCTTAAAGGAACCCCTTAAAGGAACCCCTTAAAGGAACCCCTTAAAGGAACTCTTCGAAACTCCTTTCAAAGGAACCTTAGTTCCAAGCCGTGGTTGGTTGTTTTTTTCCACTCTTCGCTGCTCCGCGCTAGGAGAGCTTCGGGCTTCACCGGGGGAGTGTCGGCTTAGGGGTTTAGGGGTTTAGGGCTTTAGGGCTTTAGGGCTTTAGGGTTTAGGGGTTTAGGGTTTAGGGGCTCACCTTCTCTGAAGGTTTCGGGGGTGAGAAGTATCTCACTCGAAGCTGCAAGACACCGAGGGCTTGAACTTTCTGTGGCTCCGTCCATCCAGGTTTAGAGGCTCCTCAGACCCTAAACCCTACACCCTAAACCCTTAAACCCTAAACCCTAAACCCGGTTTCAGGGTTCAGGGTCGAGGGCCAAGGTTTACGGTTAAGGCTCTTGAGGCCTTCGGCTGGGAGTCCGCCGCGTTCAAGCAGAAACCTACCGACAACAAGACACCCTAAACCCTGAACCCTAAACCGATTCTTGCTACCGGCATCTATAGCTTCCGTGAACTCGATTGGGCTAGAGTTCGGAATAGGCTTCGGGTTCAGGATCTGGCGGAATGAGCTCAGAATCCAAGAGACCACGAACCCCACCATGTAGGGTTTAGGGTTTAGGGTTTAGGACCCCACCATGTACGTAACTTATGCCCTCAGACTTGCGCCCGGATCTGAACCGTAAACCCAAAACAACACACGAGCCCGTTCAGAGTTCGAAAACCATCTCCAGAACAACCCTAAACCCTAAACCCTAAATCCTAAGCCCTAAACCCTAAACCGTAAACCCCTAACTCCTAAACCCCTAAACCCTAGCTTCACAGCAAGGCTGCTCGTGGCAGCTCGCGCCGCTGCGACATCCTCCTCCTGATGCAGCAGAGCATGCGATTAGGGCTTATAGGGTTTATAAGGTAGGGTTTATAGGGTTTAGGGCTTATAGGCTTTATAGGGTTTGCAGGGCTTATAGGGTTTATAGGGTTTATGGTTTATAGGGTTTATAGGGTTTATAGGGTTTATAGGGTTTAAAGGGTTTAGGGCGTAGGGGTCTGGGGATGAATGAGGGTTTAGGGTTTGCCCTAAACCCGAACTGTCACACTACCTATAGTCTCCATTGTAGTTCCTTTTGGGGTTACCTTTAAGGATCCTTAATATAGATTTGGTTAAACCAAAAAGAGGAACTACGATGGAGACTATAGGTAAAAATGAAGTAGAGGGCTTTGGGGGGGTTTGGGGGTCTTCGGTCTAGGACTCGACCGCCATGGTTGCAGTGCTGATGGCAACGCGAATCACAGCCAAGCTTCAAGGCTTTTTGGGGGTTTCCAAAAATAGGGGGCCCTAATATAGTACCCCAAATAGTAGGATCCTTGTTCTAAGGACCCCCAAATAAGGTACCCCTAATTTTCGGAAACTCACTGTTGTTTAGACGGCGAGAGAGCCTTTACCTACAGTTTAGCAGCCATTACCCCTTAATTAGTAAAACCCGAAACCCTAAACCCGGGGTAGCAACTCCAACTGGAAAGGATGACCGCGAGGGTGAGAGTGACAGTTTGTGCAAAAAAAACGCACTCTTGCGTCTAGATCAACATTGAAATTGCTGGCGTCTCATAACCCTAAACCCTAAACCCCAAAACCCAAAACCCAAAACCCAAAACCCAAAAACCCAAAACCCTAAACCCTAAACCCTAAAACCCAAAATCCCAAAACCCAAAACCTAAACCCTAACATCCCGCGTCCTGCAGCAGACAAGCGACTCTCTTAGGCACAGGTGCGGTGGCTTTGCCAAGGTGCCTGCGGCGGCTTAGGGTTTAGGGTTTAGGGTTTAGGGTTTAGGGTTTAGGGTTTAGGGTTTAGGGTTGAGGGTGGCTAGATTCTGGCAACTAGAGATATTTAGAGCTCCGATCTGCTCTGTCGGCTGACTATTACCATAGGTGACCCATCCCTAAACCCTAAACCCTACCTATAGTCTCCATTGTAGTTCCTTTTTGTGGTTACCTTTTAGGATCCTTAATATAGATTTGGTTAAACCAAAAAAAGGAACTACAATGGAGACTATAGGTAAACCCTAAAGAGTGGCTGAAGGGCTCTTCTAGACGGAACTCCGGCGTTCCAGTGTAGCCTTCCGGAACGAGGATCTTGAGCAGTCAACCCCCGAAACCCCCCCCTCTTCCTACCTGTTTATGATAATTACCTACAGTCTCCATTGTAGTCCCTTTTTTTGGGTTTAAGCAAATCTATAGTAAGGATCCTAAAAGGTTAAGCCCAAAAAGGAACTTCAATGGAGACTATAAGTAATTAAGCTAATATGGCTCTTCTGATATAGCTAGACTGTTTTTGTGACCCTAAACCCTAAACCCTAAACCGTACAATACAGGCCTATCGGGAGCACAGAGGGATGGCAAAGCTTGAACCCATTGCTGGTGTTATCGTTACAGTTTCATTACTGCTAGCCATTGCTAGTCTTAAAGCAAAACTCTAAATTCTAAACCTCTAAACCCTAAACCCCAAACCCCGAAATCCCTAAACCCAAGATTAAGACGATTCTTATGATCATCACGAATTAACTGCGAGGGGCCTTCAAGCACACGCCCTTAGCTCCCAGCGACCGGGTCCATGGTGGTAGCAAAGGGCCTATTATAGGGCTTTTGCTTGAGGGTTTAAAGTATTTTTTTTCGGGTTTAGGGATGTTAGGGTTTAGGGTTTATATAGGGTTTGGGGTGTATATAGGGTTTAGGGTTTATATAGGGTTTAGGGATGTTAGGGTTTAGGGTGTATATAGGGTTTAGGGATGTTAGGGCTTGGGGATGTTAGGGTTTAGGGTTTATATATGTTTAGGGCTTATATAGGGCTTAGGGATGTTAGGGTTTAGGGTTCAGGTGTAGGGTTTGAAGATTTGGCGGGGGGGTGGTCCTTGCAGAGTTTAGGGTCCTACGGTTGATGATATAAATCCTGCATTCCCCAGAATGAGGAATATACCCGTAATTCCCATAGTTTAGGATCCTCAAGGTAATGATATCCCTAAACCTTATCAAAGCCCTAAACCCTATATAAACCCTAAATCCTATATAATCCCTAAACCAGATATAAACCCTAAACCCTAACATCCCTAAACCCTAACAGCCGTAAACCCTAACATCACTAAACCCTAGATTTATATCATCAACCGTAGGTGAAGGTTTTTCTTCCTTGGCCCCTGGGCCGCTAGCCCACATCAGTGCTTAGGGTGTCGTAAGCAGGCAGTACTAGTGTATAAAACTTCTAGGGTTTAGGGCTTATAAACCCCAAAATACTAGTATATTATATTTTTTAGGGCTTATAAACCCAAGATACTAGTATATAACATTTTAGGGTTTAGGGCTTATAAACCCAAAACCCCTGTAGGCAGGGGCTCAGGGCTTTATGGCGAAGCTGGATGAAACCCTGCTAAACCCTAAACCCTGCACCCAAGCCCTTGACCGTATAACCTAAACCCTTAATCCTAAACCTAAACCCTAAACCCTAAAATTTCTTCGGTGAGGGACCCCTAGAAGGGCCTGAATCGTTTCCACTCATATCCGTGGAAATGCCAAGCCGAACAGCATATGTAGCCGTTATCTGTTCCAAAACCACCCTAAACCAAACACCCCTCAACCCTAAGCCCAAAACCCCTAAACCNNCTAAACCTAAACCCTAAACCCTGCAAGAATGTGCCTGTCCCTTCTGACCAGACGCTTCTCCGCAGGCTCATCTGCTTCTGTACCTGCGCCACCCCGCGGCTTACACTTTAGGGCTTTAGGGTTTTAGGGTTTTAGGTTTTAGGGTTTAGGGTTTAGGGTTTAGGGTTCAGGGCTTTAGGGTTTTAGGGTTTACCTTGATTAACCCCAAAACATTTATAAGGAAATCAT